AGTTCCAAGGCGTTATTTCTCCACTAATTATCTTTCTCCCATCAAATTTCTGGTACACCTATTATGTCAGTATCCATTAAAATCAGGCATCTAGTTTCGCTTCTCATTAACTGCTGGTGTAGTGCTGGCTTAGAAGCATGTATAGATTTGGCTTAGCTTTGTCTTCTTCCATGCTGTGTTTAGGTGAGACTTTATTTGCTTATTTGGTGTTTGCCATGTGCTGTCTCAGTTTTGCCAGCTACTTTTTAGACAATAAAAAATTTTTATTCCTTCATCTCTACAGGGTGCATCATCATGGGCTGTGTAGAGGACATGCAGAAAGCATCTCCTACCTCTGCCAGTACAGTCTCTGATTTAAAAAGTCCCCTGTAACATTTTGGGCTGTTAAATGCTCACTAACAATGAGCATTTTCCTTCTGCAGGGTTTTATTGCCTCAACCTCTGTGATCTCTAACAAGTCTTGTTTGTTTTATGTGTGCTAATTTCCCTATAAGTAATTAGAAAGCACTTCAATATAGGCAGTTGCTGATGACCTGTTGCTTGGCCATTCGTTGTGGGCATTACTCCGTAGATACCACAGCTGAAGCAAGTGGGGTCCTACAGAGCACTAGAGCAACTTGGATCAGGCTGCACCACACCTGCAAGGAGTTTGTCCTGTGAATCCCATGATATGTTGGTGCATCCAGCTCTGAATTTTGAGCCAACACTGACCTTTGAGTCTCTTCCTGAGGCGACATCCCAACAGGACTCCTCAGGCCAGAGCACCTCATTTCAGTACATGCTGCAGGCACTGCAGGCGCTTGGAAAGCCCCAGTGAACCCCATCCTGAAAACTCTTGGGGCCACCACATTTCCTGCAATCACTCGCTCTTCTCCAGCAAAGCTCTTCCAGCAGAAATGCTGTTTCCAGATGATTTCCTCCTTATGTGTCCCAGCCTTCAGTTGCACAAGGAGCTCAGCTGGTCATAACTCCTCATCCTCTGGCTCTCACTGCATCACTGTGGTTGACAGCTGACATTTATGCAATTAGATAAGGATGCAGGAGTTTGAATCCTCACACAGTTCTGGGCAGAGGGAGGAACAGGTCTGTATATGCATGTAGCTGTGGTGTTACAATAGTCGGTGCAGCCATTTATCACATCATTTGATGGGACGTGTTGCTGCCTTTTGCTTTCCATTGTGGTGCCGCAGTTTCCAGACATAACATTTGGCTTTAGTTTCTTCTTTTTTTGGCCTCTTGGAAGTCCTCTTGGGCACAAATTTGAAGGAACGGGAAAGAGGTGCTAGAAGGTGCACTCAAAATGTCTGGTGAGAGGAGGATGGTGGTGGAGTCTGTCCCAGCCTCAGTGTTCTGGATGGGCACTGCAACAGGGAGCTTGACAGAAAGATGTTTAAGCAAGGTTTTGAAAAGCCCCAAGGGAGAGGAAAGCCTGGGAGCTGCATTCGAAAATGAACCAAGTACCTAAAAACTGAGTGTACTTTGCGGTGTAATGGATAAATGTCCCTCACTGAACAGGTTGTCCTTTTCTTCTTTGGACCAGCAGGAACAAAACTTTGATTAAGTTTTATTAAGAAGATAACAGGAGCAATTCAGAACTGAAAGGTCAGGTCCAGCCTACCATGGCAGTTCCCTTCCAGCTCCTTTTGGAAATATGTGCTATCTTACTACTCACATCTGTAATGAAAATTAGAAGACAGCACACTTCATGGGACCCAACCACTTCTGCTCAGTGAGAGCCCATTAAAAGTCCTGGCCAATGTTACCAGCTGTTGCCCTCTCATCCTTTATTGATAGCAAATAAGAAAATATTTGTGGGCAGTGAAAACGGTTTGTTTTTTTTTTTTTTTCCTGATTATTACCTACCATCACCATGCTGATTTTGTCAAGCAGATTTGGCACTAACAACCAGCAATAGCTAATAAATTCAATGTTAGTCTTACTAGGTTCTGACAGATTCTTGGCAGCTGCCTTAAATGCAGGGAAGAGCTCTCCTAGTGTGGGTTGGAAATGCTTATTTATACCGTACTGTGGGTCTGTTTGCCCCAAATTTTGCTGCCTCCTTTTAGTAGATGTCATGGGTGCAATACCTGCAAAGGGTATAATGACTGATCAGAAATACCATATCCAGCTACGCTAGAGATGAGCACAAATGGATTAAGGATGGGAAGCTCAAGCATAAGCTATTACATTTTTACAGTAAGAATAAGAAATATTTTCACTTATGAATGCAATATTTGTGGTAAGGATGTAGCTAGGCCTCACCACAGATGGTTTTATTTTTCTGTGAATGTTTCAGCTATTAGCTTTTCTATGCTAGGAAGGTTTATATATTACGGAGGAGTTTTATACTGACTTGCTGTTAAACGGTGGTGGACTCCAGAAGAGACTGGCTGTACAACCAGACTAAGTTTGCTAAGGCTTCCTCTTAGCAAGTCTTAAAAGTGGAGGATTATGTGCTCAGAAGTAGACATAGGCTTCAACAGCCTGTATTTATCTTGGGAGTTGGTATTCTTTGAAAGAGACAGAGGTCTTCTTTGGATCATAGTAAACCAACTGAAAACAAAACTTTGGCAAGCCTGAGTGCTCATCTGCAGCGATGGAACATGTACTCACAGAGACATTTTAGATAACCAAAACCTTGAACAATCACTTTTCAGTGGCAAGTGATGCTAAGAATATCTACAGAAACTGAATTAGCTGAAGTCTCATTGTGAAGACAAGGTTAGCCCAAAAATTCCCAGTTACACAATGGACTGTGAAAACCACAATATATTTGTGTAACTGAACTCAAGTCTTGGTAGTCCCTGTGTTTTATCATATCTTATTTACTGGGAAAAAAAATCAGGAGTCTGTCCCAGCACTGGCTCTTACTGAGTAGCTGACAAGCCTCTGACCATTACAGTCAATGCTGAGTGAGGTGATGAAGAAATTAAAGGAGTAGGAAGATCTTTTGAACTGGAAAGGAGCAGATTAAGTCAAGAAGTTAAAGAATCCTGCAGTGAAAGTAAATTGGGCATCACTGACACACAATTTTCTATTCACATGTGGTGAAAGTACCTCTAGACAGTACAAGACTGATGGTGAAAAATGTAGATGAACATTGCAGTGTCCAACTTGATCTACAGTTGTGGAGTTTATCCTGGTTTTGTTATGAGTCGGGTGGTCAGCCTTTCCATCTCTGGCAGAGCGTTCCCCTCAATATGCCTTACAGCTCCACAGAAAGACTTCAGAAATAGAAATATTTTTCTTTACTAAAACTACACCAAAGCCTTCTTTCTTCAAAAAGGAAAAACACAATAGTCTAGAAATATACACTGACACCGTGTAGCAACTCTAAATTCTACTAAAAAAAAATTGCTGACAGCATTTCACACAACCAAAAGCAATACTTCAAGTAAAGCACTAAATGCTGTTTTGGAAAATGTGTGGGTGATGCAACCAAGCGCTATGCACCATAATGAACTTTCAAAGAAAATGGATAAAGCACAAAAACATCCCTTTGCCTTTATAACAGATCTATTGTGCTTGTTTTGAGTCTGTCTCCTGAAGGTGTCACGCAATGCCCACGAGTCCTTGTCCTGGGAAAGGCAGTGAACCACCGTTCCCCAAGTTGCCTTTTTCAGTTCCTCTGACATATCAGTGTCCATCGTATCTCCTCTCACATGTCTCTCCTTTGGGCTGAAGACTCTTAGTCTCATCCTTGTACAGAACCTTCCAGAACTCTGATTATCCTTGCTGCCATTCTGTGAGCTGGACTAAAAAGGACAAAATACCATGCTGTATTTTATATAAAGGCGAAACTTTCCGATGTATACAGTCCTCATGCAACAGGATACTCTCTGCTCTGTTCTCAAGTTCTTTGCTAATGCTTTCTAGCAGACAGTTCGTTTTTTGACTGCTGCTGAGGATTGAGCTAGTGGTTTCACAAGAACGGTTATGCCCCAAGGTCCCATTTGTGTGTGTAAGATTCAACTCAGAGCCCATTAGTGGCAGTAATCCCAGGATTGTTCTTCCCTGATGTGCATAATTTATTTAGGTTTACTTACAATGAATTTCACAGAGACTGTCTCTGTCACTATTTCTCTCACTGAAATACCGCATGGCTTCATTAATGGTAATTGCCCTTTTCTTTCCATTTGCCCAGCTGATCAGCAATTCAGACAAACTCAGAACAATTGTTCCTTACGCCACTTACTGCCTTTGGCAGACCTGATGAGGGGACTGTGTACGCAAAAGGTTTTGCCATTGACTCAAGTGACCTAACAAAATATATCACTTCTGCGTACAAACAGGAATTTTCATCTGTCCTTTGGATTCTCCAGAAGCCCATTTTTAGTGTGAAGGACGCTGCGAGGCTCCTGCCCCTCTTCAGCTGTGGGCAGAGTGCTTTGTCTTGAGCAGGGAGCAGGATGGGCTCAGCTGCCCACATTGTTAATTGAACTCTGCCCATTTTTTTCGCAATAAATACTATTTTTAAGTACAGGTTAAATTGCTATCGAGAATTTACAACTCCAGCATCAGGGTAAAGAAAACCTTTGCAGCCTGCCTCTTTCTGTGCACTTCAATATATTTTTTTTTTTCCAAGGGTAAATCAAGCAAACAAGCATCTACATGATTTCCTCTCACAAAGAGACATTTGGTACTGTGACTGTGGTTTTCTGACCATAAACGTCTCCATGGCCCGAGAAAACTGTGTAGCATGTCCTTCCTCACTAGAGGAAGAAGAAAAATGTCTGTATTACAATGTAAGTCTTCATTTTATTGAAAAAAATCAACTGAATGAAGAGAAAAAGCATCAGAGAAATGACAGATCTGCATAAACTGAGTAAACTGCTGCCTTAAACCCTTGGCATTTGCTTCACCTGACTCTGTGTAGTCTGGATGACATGTAGGTCCTTGTGTGCTTTGGAAGTAATGTTTCCCATGGCACTGAAATATGACAAGACACAATACTGATGCAATTTGTAAAATGGGAAGAAGCCTTGACTGTATTGTCTTACCTTTTTCAGAAGCCGGGGCAAGGTCAATAAAACTTCGACATTTTTCACCTTTAAAAGAAAAGGATTATTTTAGGAGACAGAAGTTGTTTGGTTTTCCTCTGCCTCCTCTTTCTGGCTGGTGTTTCTGCCATCACTCCCACCTGAGACTCTCTACAGGACCATGAGGCTGTCACACAGAGAGCAGACTTTTACCTGTGCCTCCAGCCTGGACCAAAACCGCTCTGCTCACAGTGCAGACGATGCCTGTGCCCCACCAGCGTCTGAGCAAACCTCCCAGTGCCAGGAAGCGTTGCCCTGGGCAAAGATGTCTCAGTAGATAGATGTGACACATGTGAGTAGGACAGACAAAACCTGAAGCACACAGCAAGCTGAGCAATTGCACAGAATTAGAAAAGAGTTGCTAAAAAAGCAGGGGAATGCCTTGCTATGACCATCGCAGTCCTGTGACTCTCCCTCTGCTTCATGGCTGCTGCATCCATTTATTGTTGTAAATTAAATTTTCTCTGTTTGGGACTTCACCTCTATTTTTGCAAGCATTCTTCAGAAGCATATTGCTTCTGAGAAGGAAATATATCTTAAGGGTGAATATTTTTGACCTTTCTTTTTACTTCTTCAGGCAATCAGAGATTATAAAATAATTCCTCTGCTCTGCGTGCATCCATCCACCAAGTTTATGTGTTTCCTTCAGTACGCTGTGTTCCAAGGTGACCAACAGCCTGCCTGCCTCGAGGAATCAGAGCACAGCATGCCTGCCAGAGGTAATGGAGAAGAATCCATTTTGCCCTTTAAGACTTTAATTGATGCAACAACAGCTTCAGGAGGAGGTTTTTTTATTAGTTTTGCTCCACTCTAATTGCACAGGCAAAAGACTGATTTAGGAAATGTGAGCCATTAAAAAAGAATAAACAGTAAAATGCTGTGGTGATGTTGAAGTCACTGTGTTATTTTTTCTTAGTTGTAATTAATTATATGTACAGACCAATATAAAATGTTAATCTTTCTGGTGTTTTTTGTTGGCAGGATTGAGATAAACATAACCATTGAAATGTCAGCTGTGCTGAAATATCAGTGGGTATCAGTTTTAGGGCATGAAGTGTGTCAGGAATGCATTGACATAAAATCAAGGGAATACAGGGAGAGTGACCCTTAGGTTTGAACTTGATGTAAGCAGATTAAGCAGGATTTTTCATTCTAGCCATGGGGATCTGTGGTTTGGGTTTTGTGGACTTCTTTTTTTCAGATGTAAGCTATTACTTTTATTGCAGTTTTATCTAACCGGACTTCCAGCTAGCTGGCTAACCCTGAGTCACCTCTCACCTGGGGCTGCGGTGAATCTGACGCCATATGACGGGAATCCTTTAACCAATACCTGACTCTCTAGCATGTTATCCCGAGACAGCCAAAGGGGAACGGCATTTGCTACTACAGAAACTGCACGGGCTGTTCTGAGAGCTGAAGAAACACGGTGCCTTTCAGATACAGGGGAAGGTACGAAGCCTTTCTGAAACACCTGGGTCCTGAGGAAGCAAATGGTGCCGCAGCGCTTGGCTGCAGGACAGATTATGACCACAGGCTCTTTGAAGGAATGTGCATCCTTGTCCTCCCTCAAATTCAGCTTGCCCAGAACACCATCTCTCCCAGGAGACCTGGCTGTGGCTGAGCCCTCCGGTTTGAACAATATGGACAGAAAATGCTGCAGTGCCCAGAAGAAGGCCTTTTGGAGCCATAGCACAAAGAACGATGGTGGGCCGGAGAGAGGGAAAAGCCTGGAGGGAGGTCCCTTCACTTTCACTGGCTGGTACCTGGATTGTGCCTGGCTTTCAGCTAAAGGCTGCGGTAGGAACTGCACAAATAGCTGCTGATGAAGAACACATCCCCTCATTGTTCCCGTTGCTGGAGCCCTGGAAACCCCTCCTCCATTTTCAGTGGTAACCACTGGTGGTAATTACAGACCACATCCATACTTCAACCTGCAGACATGCACCTCACTGAGAACTGAAGATGTCAGCAGTGCTTTCACTGTTCCTCTTAGGATTTATTCTAAGTTATTTTTGGGTATCTTGTATAACTGATCTCTTAAGCCCTCTTAAGTTTAATTTTAGACTCGGCAGAGTTTATCCTGCTGTGCTGCCCTTTTCCAGATGCATCTTCTCCTCATAACCAGGCTTCTGGAGAGTCTTTAGAGAGTACAGAAAAGGCTGGTTAGAGATGCCACAAGGACAGTGTTTAGGATTCATCCCCCTGATAGCCCTGCCTTCACCCAGTTGTGGCAGTGATTCTGACAGAGGAGAAAGCCAAGGGGTGATCTCTCCTGCACATAACTCACTCACATAGAAAGAAGACGTGTGCCTTGGCTTGAATGCTCTCCACATCTGTGCAGGAGCAGTGGCCATGCACAGTGCATGGGAAGCTCTCTGGAGGTCAGCACTGCCAGGGAGCTGCTGGAGGCTGAGAAGAGAGGACTGGTTGACCACCTAACCATCAGTAACAGCAAAGCACTTGGTTCTGGTCTCTTCTGTGGCTTCCCAAGGGCAGGTAGAGGTGAGGTAGGAACTCCATATGGAAGCCTTTGCAAATGCATTCCCTCATAACCAGGCTGGCTCTGCATGGGCTCAGTTGTGTCTCTGCTGGGCTTCCTGAGAAGGTGGCATGGGCCATAGGGGACTGTGGGTCTGGATACCAGCAACTGGAAAGCCTGAAATTTGTGTGTTTGTCTCTATTTAATGAACCTAATCCTGCACACATGCATATGTGTGTCTATTTGTAATTTACTAGGGAACTTCCAACTGAACCAGCCAGAGAGTGTGAGGAGACATGTCTGGAAAGACCAAAGTCTGAGCTGGTGGCTGGGTAAGAGTCTTGAGGTCTTGAATAGACTTGGTAATATCTGAAAGATCATTAGTGTGGTGTGCTCGTGCATCTACAGAGGGAAGGGAAGTGCCTGTTTCACCAGTGATCCTCAAACCTGCTCAGCCAGCGAGGTGGAGGAGGATTGAGCTGGCTGATGGGAGTGCCCTCTTACCTTCTCCAATGAAGAGTCCTACTTCAGAGTCACACACGCTTTGGACAGCTGGGACTCTGCTTTGGAGGTAAACGCTTGTTCCTCTTACCTTCCTCAGGCAGAGTTCAGAGACATCTGTACCTCCCTATACTGAACAATAATTCGAAAGCAAAAGATAAGAAAGAGAAGTGGCTTTTCTAAGTCCTCCAAATTCAATCCTGCCAGAAAATTCAGACAAACAGATCCCATCAGGTCTGCATGGTATACTGGTTCCAGGGCTCTGAGCTGTTTTCCCTGTTACGCTCTGCACACCTTGTTGTGTGCACAGTGAAACTGCATTGCGATGGACCAGATGTGCCTCGCTGCAGCTTCCAGAGGGGATGCAGGGTGACATTCTTCCATGGGTCTATGGAAGACCCTAGGGAGCAATTAGAGAGCTATATAAGGCAGCTGGAAAGGCAGGTCTGGGTGCACATAGATTGGCTCTAAACTCTAGCACACAGATGTACTTGCAAACTCAATGTACACACTGGAATGACTCCAACTTTAAGCCTTTGGGAGGCCCACATGTATTCTACTGTTTCTTCCACCAGCTGCATAAAATGTATGGTTGGTTTACTTCTGTCTTCAGGACCCCACACTGCACAACAGTGGTTGGATTTGTCCAGAGTATACCTGAGTAAACTGGTGGTTCAGACTGGAAACCGGGAAGGAGGGCAGAAAACACACCAAAAAAGCAGAGGCTTTAAGGCACTATTCTAACTATTCATATTCGTATGGAGCAGATCATCTTGAGCACCATCACATGGTACGCACAGGACAACCAGCTGATCAGGCCCAGTCAGCACAGCTTTATGAAAGCAGGTCTGGCTTGACTAACCTGATCTCCTTCTATGACAAGGTGACCCACTTAGTGGAAGAGGGAGAAGCTGTGGATGTTTTTTACCTAGACTTTAGAAAAGCCTTTTCCAGCATTCTCCTGGAGAAACTGGCTGCTCATGGATTGGACAAGTGCACTCTTCACTGGGTAAAATTCTGTCTGGATGGTCGGGCTGGAAGAGTTGTGGTGAATGGACTTCAATCCAGTTGGCAGCCAGTCACAAGTGGTGTTCCCCAGGACTCCATACTGGGGCCAGTTCTGTTTAATGCCTTTATCAATGATCTGGACAAGGGGATTGAGCACACCCTCAGTAAATTTGAAGACAACAACAAGCTGGGCAGGAGTGCTGAGCTGCTGGAGGGTAGGAAGGCTCTGCAGAGGGATCTGGATGGGCTGAGGCCAGTTGTATGAGGTTCAATAAAGCCTTAAGTTGTGCCAGGGGAGGTTTAGATTGGATATTAGGAATTTTTTTTTCATTGAAAGGGTTGTCAAGCATTGGAACAGGGAAGTGGTTGAGTCACCATCCCTGGAGGTGTTTAAAAGATGCGTAGGTGTGGAGCTTAGGGACATGGTTTAGTGGGATTTGGCAGTGTTGTGTTTACAGTTGGACTCAATGATCTTAAAGGTCTTTTCCAACCTAAATGATTCTGATCCTATTCTAAGTTTATAACATGGCTGTTGCAATAGCAAGGACCAGAAGCTGATGTCCTGGATCGTACTTATTAGTCCTATATTCCCGAGTTCTTTCCTTTCTGATAAATGCCTCATTAATAACCAGGGCAGCAAAAGAAAAACAACTCTGAAACATCCTAGTTTGTATGTCTTCCAAGCACACAGTTTCAAAATATTCCAGTTAATTTGACTTAAAAGAAATCGGGTAGTTCTGCCTGAAAGAAGGATCTCAGTTACAACTCTGCTTTTCATCCTGAAAAAAAAAAAAAAAAAAAAAAAAAGAAAAGAAAAAGCTGTCTGTATTCACTTACTCTGCATTAAATTTTATGAGTTCAAAAGTACAGTTCTGATGGAAATTTAAATGATTAAATTCCATTTAAACAGCATTCCCTTTTAGTAATACTCTGGCTCCCAGCCTACGAAAGACAAGGTCCCCTTTTTTCCTAACAGGCCCTAACAGATCTTTGTCTCTCCAATTATGTCTGGAGTCATGTG